TGGCACTTTCCCGCCTGGGACCCAGTGGAGCCTCAGACGACGGGTCTACGGTCTCCGCTAGGCACCCCGTGAGTGGCACGACACTCTCCGCTCTACTCTCTCCGACCTCGGGTTTGAGCCGTCTTCCGCCGACCCGTCGCTGTTTGTTCGTCGTGGCCGTACACCTTTCTTCGTCCTAGTCTACGTTGACGACTTGGTTTTTGCCACGGCCGACACAGCTGCACTGGCGGAGGTGAAGTCCGAACTGTAGAAGAGACACACCTGCACTGACCTTGGGGAACTGCGCCGCTACCTTGGCCTGCAGATCTCCAGGGACAGAGCCGCTCGCACCATCACTCTCACTCAGTCCCACATGGTGCAGCAGGTTCTTCAGCGGTTCGGGCTTCAGGACTCTTCTCCTGCCCCCACTCCTCTTGCTGTAGACCACAGACTCACTGGGCCTTTTCCTGACGAGCCGTTCGAGCCCAGTGGTCCCTACGCAGAGCTGGTGGGCTGCCTCATGTACCTGATGACGTGCACTCGCCCGGACCTCGCCTTCCCCCTTAGCATCCTGTCTCGCTTTGTTGCGACTGGGAGACACCGTCCTGTTCACTGGGCGGCGGCTAAGAGGGTGGCGAAGTACCTTGGCGCGACATCAGGCATGGGGCTTGTACTTGGAGGGACACAGCCAGTTGTACTCACCGGTCACTGTGACTCTTCCTACGCTGACGACGTTGAGACTCAGAGGTCTACGCAGGGTTACTGTTTCAGCCTGGGTTCTGGAGCTGTTTCGTGGAGGTCTACTCGGTCCTCCTCTGTTGCGACTTCTACCGCAGAGGCCGAGATCTACGCTGGGGCCCTTGCTGCTCAGGAGCTACGCTGGTTGACCTTTTTGCTCACTGACCTTGGTGAGCGGCCGAGCTCTGCACCGACCCTGTTTGCTGACAACAGGGCGATGATTCTCCTGTGTCGTGAGCCTCGACTGGAGAGCCGAGTGAAGCACATCGGCGTCAGGTACTTCCTCCTTCGAGAGTTGCAGAGACGCGGACAGGCTCGTCTGGACTTTGTGGCCTCCGAGGCCAACACTGCAGACATCTTCACCAAGGCCCTCCAGCCTTGTGACCACCGTCGGTTTTGTCTGCAGTTAGGCCTCGTTGAGACTGGGTCTAGTTGACTGCTGTAGGGTGCTCTTTGTCTGTTGCTTGCTTGTACCTTATATATATATATATATATATATATTTGTTTGCACACTTTTGGACTGGCCTTGTGGCCCTTTGCTTGTGCTCAGATTAGGTGGTGACGTTGTGATCCACCCTGAGCTTTGTTCTCTTTCTCTTGTTTTTGACTGGTCTTGTGACCGTAGGTTGCTTGTTGTTGATTGGCCTTCCCCACTTAGGCTATGGGGGTGTGTCAAATATTATAGCCTGTAGTGGGTTGGGCTATATGGGGTACAACTAGTTAGGGTTAGGTGATGTACCCCAATCCTGTCAACACAACGCATTCCGCTGTAGTTCTCATTCTGACACCAGTGTACCTATTTTTCCAACTCTGAGTGCCCTCTCAAGTATTGAACCCAGGCCTTCTGCACTCCTACCAAAAGACACAGTAACGTTGTGCTACGCGGTTACAATTTGAATTGCTTACAGACATTATATATTCCTTTAAACCCACCAATTGGGGGGCGCGGGGGGAAGAGGGAGGGTCGGTCGAAATGCCTATACCATATACAGGGAAAAGTACATCCGCCACAAATATACACTGGTCTCTCAGAGTAGCTAACATCAGAACCCTGACAAATCAGAGAAAAATTATCCTCCAAAAAACTTACCCAGACACGTCAGAGTGACCCCCTAAAAACCACTCTGATTTTCAGAGAAACAGAGTAATTTACTCTGATAAAAAAACCCCTGGCCTCAGCTCACTTTGTTGCACTCTCCTGCAAGTGTTAACTCCATGATTTCTCCTCATCCTTCCTTCATTCCCTCCAGTGCTCCTCTCTACCTGTCAGAATGAGGAATGATGATGCCATTGATGTTGGTTGGGGTACATATAACAAACCCTAACTTCTGTACCCCCTAAGACAAACCTCACTACAGGCTACAACATTTGACACACCCCCATAGCCTAAGTGAGGGGTGTCTAGCAAAATAAAAAAAAGAGTACGGTCACAAGACCAGTCCAAAAGAAAACAAAGCTCAGGGTGGATCACAACGTCACCACACTCTCTGAGCACAAGCAACAGTGGCCACAAGGCCAGTCCAAGAGATCACAAGTATATATAGCAAGAGTACAGACGAAGCAGGCAATAAACTCAAGCCTACACATGACTAGAACCTGTGTCAACAAGGCCTAACTGCACACAACACCTCTGGTGGTCACGAGGCGGAAGCGCCTTGGTGAAGATGTCTGCAGTGTTGGCCTCTGACTCCACAAACTCGAAGCGAGCCTGTCCACGTCTCTGCAACTCTCGCAGAAGAAAGTACCTGACGTGAATGTGCTTCACTCTGCTCTCCAGTCGCGGCTCACGACAGAGGAGGATCGACGCCTTGTTGTCAGTGAACAAGGTCGGTGCAGAGCTCGGCCGCTCACCAAGGTCGGCGAGCAAGAAGGTCAACCAACGCAACTCCTGTGCCGCCATGGCACCAGCGTAAATCTCAGCCTCAGCTGTAGAGGTCGAGACAGAAGAGGAGCGCGTGGAACGCCAGGAAACAGCTCCAGAACCGAGACTGAAATAGTACCCCTGAGTAGACCTGTGAGTCTCAGCGTCGTCAGCGTAAGAGGAGTCACAGTGACCAGTGAGTACGACAGACTGCTGCCCTCCAAGAACTAGCCCCACGCCTGATGTAGTCGCTAGGTACTTCGCCACCCTCACAGCTGCCGTCCAGTGAACAGGACGGTGTCTCCCTGGCGCAACAAAGCGCGCAAGGATGCTGAGAGGGAAGGCGAGGTCCGGGCGAGTACAAGTCATCAGGTACATGAGGCAACCCACAAGCTCTGCGTAGGGACCACTAGGCTCAAACGGCTCGTCAGGAAAGGGACCAGTGAGTCTGTGGTCAACAGCGAGAGGTGTGCGCTGTACGGTGGAGTGCTGAAGTCCGAACCGCTGAAGGACCTGCTGCACCATGTGTGACTGTGAGAGTGTAATGGTGCGAGCGGCTCTGTCCCTGGTGATCTGCAGGCCAAGGTAGTGGCGCAGCTCACCAAGATCAGTGCACGTGTGTCTCTTCTGCAGTTCGGACTTCACGTCTGCCAAAGCAACCCTGTCCGGAGTGGCGAAAACGAGGTCGTCGACGTAAACCAGAACAAAGAACGGTGTGGAGCCACGACGAACGAACAGCGACGGGTCGGCAGAAGACGGCTGGAACCCAAGGTCAGAGAGGGTAGAACGCAGAGTGTCGTGCCACTCACGAGGGGCCTGGCGAAGACCGTAAACAGGTCGCCTCAGCCTCCACTGGGTCCCAGGAGGGAAGGTGCCAGTGAAGGCCGAGGGACGACGCAACCAGACCTCTTCGTGTAGGCTGCCCTGAAGGAAAGCAGTGGAGAAGTTGAGAGAGTGTAACTCGTAGTCTCTCTGTGCTGCTACGTGTAGTAACACCCGAAGAGTGGTCATCTTCGGGGTAGGTGCGAAGGTCTGAAAGAAGTCAACTCCCTCGCGCTGACTGAAACCTCTAGCCATGTAGCGCGCCTTGAAGACCGGGGGAGATCCCGGTGGCCGCTTCACCCTGTAGATCCACATGCCGTCGACTACGTTCGCCCCAGGGGGGGGAACCTCATCGACGTAGGTGCCTGTGGATCTGTAGGAGGCCATCTCTGCATCCATGGCAGCTCTCCACTGAGAGGCCCAAGGCCCTGACACTGCCTCAGCGTAAGTGCGAGGAGTCGGAATGTCAAGGGCGTCGGGGTCACCCTCAGGGGCGAGGAGCATGGCACAGAGATGAGGGGAAGCGGCCGCCAGGAACTCTAGCTCAAACTGCCTGTCCTCTAGGGCGTCACAGCCAAGGGCAGACACACCCCCGACGGCCAGAGGACTGGTAGGAGGAGCAGCCACAAGCGTGGTGGCGTAGTCAAGGCGGCGGGTAGAGGCAAAGTCAGTAACTGCGGCAGTAAGAGCGGACACAGAGGACACAGAGGCACGAGGGTGAGTAACAAGAGAGGCGAGAACACGAGAGAGAACAGGACGGTACGTGCGGTAGTAGTCAGTGACAGGAGTAGGGAGCGACACAGTGAGGGCCGACTCAGGAGGAGACGGAAGCACAGACTGAGACGGACGAGGTGGACTAGAAAGAAGGAAGGCAGTACGAAGGTCAGAGAAGGGAACAGGAGACGAGGGACGAGCACGAGGGGAGCGACGAGTAGCCCAAGAACGAGACGGAGGAGGAGAGGACAAAGGCGGAGAACTGGGGAAAACAGCGGGGGAGGAGTCAGGAGGAGGAAACGTGGGACCGTAGACAGGAGGAGAGGCGGAGGAGGGAGGAGAAGGGGAGGGGAGACCAAGGGTCCGAAGACCCGAGACAGGAGGAGGAAGCGGCTGCTGCTGGGACTACTGCTCCTGCGGGTCCAGCTGCTGCTGCTGCTGCTGCTGCTGCTCCTGCGGCTCCAGCTGCTGCTGCTGCTCCTCCAGCCGCTGTAACTCCCTCTCCTCTCTCTCCAACGCCAGCTGCTCGTCACGGGCACGGCGAACACGAGCCTGGTGCCTAGTCGGGTAGGGGTGGGGGGGCGGAGTAGTGTCCGAAGCAGCGGTAGCTCCAGAGTCCACCCCCGAAGAACCAGGCGCACCACCCCCAGAGGCAGCACTAACACCAGCTCCAGACCCAGGCTCGCCAGAACCCGAAGGAGGCGCACTCTCACACCCAGTGTCCGCCCGACCAGCACCAGCTCCCGGACGACAAGAGTCCTCTGCACCCACCGGGTCAGCTCCAACTCCAGAACCAGAAACTCCAGCTCCAACTCCAGCTCCAACCCCACCACCCCCAGAACCAGAAACCGGTACAGGAACAGGCGCAGCACCAACCTCTCGAGAGCTAGCACCTGCGGCACGCTGCGAGGAGGACTGTGGGGAGGGAGGCTGTACCGGAGAGGCTACCGAAGGAGGAGGAGTAGCCTGGGACACACCCGACGGGGCTGGACCAGGGGGGGGAGGCTGTACCGGGGGAACAGGAGGGGGAGCGGCAGTCAGGAAGAGGGGGGGAGGAGGAACCTGGAGACCTCGACTGGGGTACGTGACGTAGTACGGAGTGGACTCCTCGAAACGGACGTCACGGGAGTCAAAGAACCGGTGAGAGGGAGGGTGGTAAAAGGTGAAGTCAGAGGAGTCCTCAGGGAAACCAAGGAAGACACAGGGGACGGCACGAGGCGAGAGCTTGTCCGCGGAGGTGTCGCGGACAAGAGCCAAGCACCCCCAGACACGAAACCGCGACGCAACACCAGGGGACCCTGTCCAAAGACTGGTCGGTGAAACCTCTGGTCGAGAGACACGTGGCCAGAGGTTCAGCTGGTGCGCGGCGTACCTGACCGCGTAGGGCCACAGAAAATGGGGGGCACAGGCGTGAGTCAGGGAGGTGCGGGCGATCTCCATGACCAGGCCTATGCGGCGCTCAGCAACCCCATTCTGCTGTGGGGACTCTGGAAGCGTCCAGGACTGACGAATGCCCTGCTCGCGACAGAATCCAGCGAGAATGCCGGAGCGAAACTCACCCCCACGGTCGGAGTGGAGGCAGCTGACACGACGACCACGAGTGTCCTCGGTGGTGAGCAACCACCTGATCAGCGTAGAAGTCACCTCAGACTTCTTCGCCAGAGGGAACACTGTGGTGTAGCGGGAGAAGTCGTCAACGACCACCAGAAAGTAGCGCTCACGCTCAGGGCCTAGACGAGGGGCGGGGCCCCAGACGTCCAAGTGAAGCGTCTCAAAAGGCTCGGTGGCCGGACGAAGGGAGGAGGAGTGAGGGGCGGCGCGCAGCCGACCCTCGACGCAGGGACCACACGGCGGCGCAAGCGAAGGCGGCAGCGACGGCAAGACACGTGGGAGGCCTAGGACAAGACGCTGACTAGACATAGCGCGCAGACGAGGAAGGGACGGGTGCCCCATCCGGTGGTGCCACAGAACGGTGGGGTGGGCAAGCGACCGGCAGGAGCACGACGCAGCGACTGGAGCAGACGTAGGAACCTGACACGACACAGACACCTGGGGGGACGAAGCAACCTGGTGAGACGCGGGGACCCGAACGGGGGGGGGAACCGGGGGCAGTGGCAGAAGGGGCGGCTGCTGGTGCGACCGCTGGTGCAGCAGCTGCTGTTGCTGCTGCTGCTGCAGCTGCGGCTGCTGCTGCGGCTGCGGCTGCTGCTGCGGCGCACGCGGGCCAGTATGAAGAGTGTAGAGACCTGAGCCCGGCTCAGCAGTAAAGGTAGCAAGAGGCTGGTAAGAGTCTCCGTCAACACACACCGCAGTCTCTCCAGAAGGCTCAAACCACACACCCACGTGCTGACTCACGAGGGGTCGCACGCCCACCAAGTTCCGGGAGAACGAGGGGACGTGAAACCCAGTGAGAGACCCGGAGGGAGTAGCAGGACACGGTAAAGTGGTAGTGTGACGTGCAGTGACTGGTCCCGTAGTGGGATCAGCCAAAGCCACAGAAACAGGCGCAGGAAGTGGTGTAAGTGTCGTGCTGTCCCGGAAGAAGCAGTGTGAGGCTCCAGAGTCCAGCGTGAACGACAGAGAAGCGTCCTCTGAGGTAGTCGCTGGTCTAGAGTCTACACAAGAACCTACACTAGCAACAGGCAACTGAGCAAGACTAGCACCTAAGCTAACAACACCAGAGTAAACAGAGTCAGAAACACTAGAGTCAACAACAGCATACATAGCATGAGGAGCACCAATCAGATCAACTAACTGCTCAGCAGACATGCCCCACAGAGCGGAGCCGTAGCGCTGAACCAGAGGAAGCCAGTCAAGAGCAGGACCGCCAACCCCGTAGGCCAACCGGACCGTGTCAGTGAGCTGAGCAAAGCACTGACCAGGGGGGTGAAAGCGGCCACAAGGGTGGCCCCGACGAGGACCTGTCAGAACCTGATAGGTGCAGGGAGGGTAAGAAGCACCGCGCTGGGGCTGACGCAGCCCCGACCCCGGAGCCAGCTGCTGACGCTGCTGCTGCTGAGGCTGGCGGGAGGAAAGGGGCTGCTGCTGCTGCTGAAGGTGCTGCTGACGCTGAGCCTGGTACCACGCCGCTGCTCCACCTAGCGGGGTCGGCAGTACAGGAGGCGACTGACGAGCTCGGGGGTCGCCGCCACCAGCAGGCGCAGTGGAGTCACCAGCCGCTGCACGAGGGGTCTCTCCAGACGCTGCACTCCCACCACCGCCAGTCGCAACTGCACCCCCACTACCTCCGCTACCTCCACCTCCACCTCCACCAGAACTACCTTTCTTGCCACCCTTGCCGCGGGACCGCGACGCAGTCGTAACAGCAGCCGCAGTCGCGTCAGTAGCGGCAGTGGCGAGAGAGGCAGTGAAGGTGGGTAACTGCGGGACTGTGCACCCGTGGAAGAGTGGGGGGGACACAGTACCAGAGGCGGCAGCTACCGAGCGAAGGTTGCTCTCGACGTCCTTGAGTGCAGACTCAAGGACCTCGATAGTCAGCTCACTAGGGTGTTTCAGCAGAAGCGCGTCACGAACGGAGGCTAGGCGGTCAGGGAGGCTAGTGGCGATGAAATAGACAGTAATCGCCATGGGGGGAGGAAGCAGTGCAAGCTGTGCCTCAGTGCAAGCAGCGCGGTAACTAGCGTCGAGCGAGCGGAGGTGAGCGATCAAGTCAGCAGAGCGCTCAAACGAGGCGAGATCAGGAAACAGGAACGGGAGGAAAAGACTGCCAAGAGAGACAGTAGCGGGAGTAGAGTAGCGGGCCTTAATCGCAGTGAGGTACGCAGCAGCGGTGCGAACCTGAGTAAAGTGGACCTCCTCTGACTCAGGGAGGAGGCTGCTGAGTGCGATGCAGGCCGCAGCGTCACGCGACGTCCAAGCCGTCCGGTCAGCGCGCTGACGGGCAAAGCGAGCCGTAGCAGCGTCGTCAGGGGCAGAGCCTAAAGCTGTAGGCTCGGGGGGCTCGGGGAGGTCACCAGTAGCGTGCGACCAGAGGGTCTCGCCCCCCTGGACCTGACTCTCTAACAGACGGCGAGCGCGAAGAAGCCAGACGGAAAAGTCAAGTGGTCTACCGTCAACGTCGAAACGAAGAACTCGCGGAGTCGCCATAGTGAGAACTAACGCGAACGAACAGGCGAGTAACAACCGGGGAGAAGAGGCAAATTAGGGTTCAGGTGGGAAGGGGACTCAGTCGCAGCGGAAGAGCGGGCTAGGGCGACGGGCCAGGGCGTAGGGTAGGGCGACGGGCTAGGGCGTAGGGTAGGGCGACGGGCCAGGGCGTAGGGTAGGGCGACGGGCCAGGGCGTAGGGTAGGGCGACGGGCCAGGGCGTAGGGTAGGGCGACGGGCCAGGGCGTAGGGTAGGGCGACGGGCCAGGGCGTAGGGTAGGGCGACGGGCCAGGGCGTAGGGTAGGGCGACGGGCCAGGGCGTAGGGTAGGGCGACGGGCCAGGGCGTAGGGTAGGGCGACGGGCCAGGGCGTAGGGTAGGGCGACGGGCGAGGGCGTAGGGACGGGACAGGGCGACGCGACGGGGCAGGGCGGCGCGATGGGGCAGGGTGACGGGACGGGGCAGGGCGACGCGACGGGGCAGGGCGACGCGACGGGGCAGGGTGACGGGACGGGGCAGGGCGACGCGACGGGGCAGGGCGACGGGACGGGGCAGGGCGACGCGACGGGACAGGGCGACGGGACGGGGGGGAAAGGGCGGGCACGACGTGACGGGGGGAACGGGCGCGACGCGACGGGGGGAAAGAGCGCTAGGCGACGGGGGGAAAGGGCGCGACGCGACGGGGGGGGGGGGGGGGGGGGAAAGGGCGCTAGGCGACGGGGAGAAAGGGCGCTAAGCGACGGGGGAGAGGGCGCTAGGCTCGGTACTAGGCGCGGTAACAACGGAACCGGTACGAACGAGAGGTAGGATCAGGCTCGGGAGGGACGAACGGAGAACGGAGGAACGGGATCCCACAGGATCCTAACCTAGCTGATACCATGTCAAAATGAGGAATGATGATGCCATTGATGTTGGTTGGGGTACATATAACAAACCCTAACTTCTGTATCCCCTAAGACAAACCTCACTACAGGCTACAACATTTGACACTATCATCGCCCAGAGCTTGTTTTGAAATATTTTCCAAAAGTACGCCAGCCAGCCAACCCCCCATTCCACTAGCCGAGCCTTCTAGAGCCGTATCATTCTCACCGCTTCACTTTGAAACTCTGCCCCCACTTCCCACGGCAATATCTCTCTTCCAAACGGTCCTTTGTATTCATCGGTGATACAAGGGTACAAGTAGGTGGACAAGCAAGAACTCGGCAGCAAATACAACAGCATCTAGTTGCATTGTAACCGGTTTTCGGTAGCCCCTCCCCCCATCCCCTTTGTAGACACCTACCCCTCCTCCAGTGTGTCCCCCAGCTGCACCGGCCTCTCTTCCTCTCTCACCGCCTCCCCTCACTCCCCTCATACCCCCCTGCAAACCCCACTCTTTCCTCCTCCTCATCCTCCTCGTCCTCCACAGCCAGTTGTTGCAGCAGCAGCTGCTTCCCTTTCTTCCTCGATTCCCTTCGGTGCTTCTTTGCTTCTAGTCTCGGTTCTGCCACCACCACCCCATACCCCCTACTCTTCAACCTCACATCACCCTCCCTCTTGGTACCAACGGCCCGGATTTCAGCTGCTTCCCGCGCTCTGATCTCGTCCATCAGCATCACGTAGTGCCGGTACCGCTCCCAACCGCTATCCACCGCACACCCGGGCTCGCTAATGTGGCGGCAGTCGGCGAATGCGCAGGGGGTGGGGGAGGCAGCTAGGCGGGAACGAATCTGTGTTGTTGGGAGAAGAGGATAAGAGTACAAGGGGAGTCAGAGCACAAAAGGGATGATAACCATGAGACAGTGAGAGTGGAAACACAGGCAGTGGGGGAGGCGGCGAGGCAAGTGCGGATCTGTGTTGTTGAGAGAAAGGGGCGAGTCTTAACAGGGGTATGGGAAAGAAATAGCAGGAGGGGGAGGGGGAGAGGGAGGGGAAGTAGGGTGAAGGGAGGCGAGAAGGATGGGGGATAGATATACGTGGATAGAGGGGGGGAGAGTGGAGGCATGCGAGGTAGCTCAAGGAAACAGCATGGTGACATGGGAAGTGGAAACTATCGAGTCAACTTGCAGTTACGACTGCTAGATGTCCACATATATACATAAAAATGGGGCGACTTTTGAGTCGACTCAAAAGTCACCTCGTTAAAAAAGAGCGTACCTCAGGGAAGAGCATGGGGAGGTCAGAGCAGGTCACGTTGGCAAGCGATGGCTGGCTGAACCCTGGTGAGTCTGCTAGCAACCCGCCACTGCTGCTGCTGCTGCTGCTGCTGGTACTGCTGCTGTCACTGCTGCTGGTACTGTTATTGCTGCTATTGATGATACTGCTGTCACTGTTGCTGTTACTGTTGCCGTCAATGTTGCTGTTACTGTTGGTTCTGTTATTGATATTACCGTTGCTATTGCTGCTGCTATGGTCACGGATTGCACCCCCTTCCTGTAGTACTCTCACTCCCTCTGCCGGATGCCTTCTGTCTCCCTCTATAATCACATCCGGTACTGTTGCGGTAACACGTTCCGTTACAGTCATGTCTGGCACTGTCGCAGCAGCGTCTCCCTCTATAGTTACATCCGGTATTTTCACAAGGGCCACGTGTCGTGTTGTGTGTCGCCCCCTCCCACTCCGCTTCGAAACCTCCCCAACCCTCAACTCCTCAAATTTAGCCTCTCCACCTTCTCCCTCCCCTCCCTCCTTCAAACCATCTGCATCACAAACCTCCCCTTTATAAGCATCCCTGTTATACGCCTCTCCCAAAACAGCGTTTATAAGGCTGGATTTGCCAACTCCACTCGGCCCCGCAATCACCGTAGTGCGACCCGCCAGGAGGCCTCCCGGACCCGCCAGGTGGCGGATTCCGATTCGCCGCTCCACACTGCATGTGAGCATCAGGTAACCCCACTCTGCTGCCCGCTTCTGCCACTCCCGCACAGCCTGATAGAAGGGAGGGGAGGCAGGGAGAGAGGGAACAGAGGAGGGAGGGGTAACTAGGAGGGTTTGAGGGCGAGACGAAGGGGGGATAGCGAGGGAGAGATAGCTTGTAGAGTCACCTTCTAAAGTCATCTGAACATCTAGTAAACCCACGCTGCCGCCCGCTGCAGCTCTCCTGCACTGCCTCATGGGAGGGATGAGAGAGCGGGGAGAGGAAGCTAGCACTCCACACACTCACATGCACAGCCCAGCAGCACCCCACCACAGAGCGGCTCTGCCCAATTCTTGAAAAAAAGAAGAAAAAAAGAGACGTCTCGGAAATCCGAAAGTTTTTTATTCCTGCGACACAAGAGGCTATGCATGGGGCACACTGACACATTCAATTTCGTCTAATTCTCTGCAAGATGCCACTCATGCATTCATGGTGTATTCCTGCCTGCCTAATTTCAGAACGACCAAAAGCCTCACCTGCTCATCCACAAGATCCGCCTTGTTGAACACCAATGACACGGCGACACCTGTCGCCTCCGCAGCCACCAGAAACCGGCTCACGTTCGACGGCTCGGGCGGCGGCTGGGCAAGCGAGAAGAGCAGCAGCAGGTGGTCTGCGTTCGCCACGGGCGGGTCCAAAATTTCAGATGCCCGGGGCAGGGCAACGTCTTGAACGACAGCCTGGCGGGCAGCCCAATCAATCCCACCTAGCCTTACAACGTCCCCCACTAGAACCCTCCTCCTGAGTTTCTTAAGTAGTGCTCGCACCACACACAGCAACTCAACCCCCTCCCTCTCCTCCTCCCTTCCCTCCCTTCTCTCCATACCCTCTTTCCCCTCTCTCCCCTCCGCGCCCTCCGCCTGCTGCCTCTGCTCCCCCACTTGCTGCTCCGCTGTGCCTCTTGGAGTCTCCCGTTGCCCACCTGCTCAGATGGGAGGGTGGCATGCACAAGATGAGAGGCAGAGGGAGGGAGGGGGGGGGGGGAGAGGTCGATACGAATGCCCCTTGTCACCTCTGCTCCCCCACTTGCTGCTCCGCTGCGCCTCGTGGCGTCTCTCCTCCCCCGCCTGCACAGATGAGAGGGCAGCATGGAGAGGCAGGGGTGAGTGGGATGGGTTACGATGCCTCTCGCACTGTGGCTTTTGAGTCGACTGAAAAGCCAATTTGCGTGGCTGCTACTGCCTGCCTGGCTGCCTGGAGTTTCGGGTTTCGTGCTTCAGCTTTTGGAAGCGGAGAGGTTTAACAGAGGTTTATGGTAGGAAGTCCGAGGCTGAAAGATTTGAGGTTCTGCTGGGGGAGGGGGGTGTGAGGGGGCAGGGGCGAGAGGGTTGCGGTTTGGGGTTCTTGGATTGGGGGGAAGGAGAAGCAGGGCGTGGGGAGGGGGTCGGGGAGGGTTCAGAGTTTTTGCTACTCTAAGAGAAGAGAACAGTTGGGAAGGGTTTCTGGTTTCTGCTCCTCTCGCCGTAGCTTCGTATCATCCCACCTTGGGGTGATTGACCGTTACTGCCTCGGTCCGACTCCTCTCCTCGCACCTCGATGCCCTCTCTCTCGCCTTCCACACCGTATCTCGTTACAATCACGCGTACGAAGTTAGCCTGAGCGGACATAACTCTTCCCACTGCTTCCCCCGGCCCCAGCCGCCAATCCGCGCCCAGATCCGCCACATCGCGCTGCATCCGCCCTGCGCTCTCCGCGGAACCGTCTCCGCCATCGCCCCCGTTTCCGCCCCGTGGGCCCAGCGGAACGGTGCGGTCGTTCCGCCGGGGGCTGCGGTTGCGCGCGTGGAAAGGGGTGGACTGCGGGCGCCAATCCTTGGGGCGCTGCTTCATCGCGCCTCCCCCGTGGTTCCGCCGCCCCGCCACCACCGTGAAGTGGCGCGGAGGCGCATCAGAGGGACATGCGCGCGGGGGTTCCCGCGGAAGGGCGCGCAGGGATGTGAGCGGAGCATTTCGTAGCTGAAAGAGGCGCGAGAGGGCGGCGTGTGGCTGGATGGGGAGCGATCCAAGTCGACCGAATCGGAAGCGGCGCAACATTAGACCGAAACAGAGGACGGCGAACAGCGAGAATATTAAAAGTAGGAGAACGTTGGCTGACTAACGTCGAGAAAAGCACAGGTTGCAAGTGGGTGATTCATGCTTTCTGTTTAACTTGATTGAATGTGATGAATGCGCGGGTAATGTATTGGAATGCTTGCTAAGTACCTAGAACTTGAGTCCCTACACGGTCCGGTACACATAAAGATTAGATGGAGACGTTCGTAGCGAGTCCTATTTCATTGCTTGCTGTTGCGTTGCACCCCCCCTCCAGACCTGTGCAAGGGCATTTTTTGTGAAGGCTCTGAACTTTCCGGCTTACTTTCGTCGTACCTGTCCATTTAATGTTTTGGTTTTGCATGTCACCCGTGAGCACTAGGGTTTCAGTTGGCCCTTTCCCGGACTCGTCTAGGTCTCCATTGGGCCCTCCCTGAATCCAAGTGTTGGTCTGGTTCGAAGGAGCCTCCCACTAACCTGTTCTCCTGTACACCTTACCCCCTTCCTCCCTTCCCTTCTTTTAGGATAAGTAGTTCGGATCCAAGCATCTAGAAGTTCTGTAACTTCACTTAGGAACAAACATTTTCGCCGAAAATTCACCTAGTTTCGAACCCGGAATTTAGCTTTTGCTTTTAAGCCTGAACCCGTGACGGTGGGGGCGAAATGCTCAGGATCGTGAACGGGAAAAATCTCGAGCAGCCCAGGAAACCTTCAAATCGTCGTTTTGGTGCTGCTTTCTGGGCGTCTGACTGGGACCGGGACAACACGTCGTCGTCTTGAATGATGCCCACGTTTAAGCAACAGTGCTGCATGAGGTTTGAAAGAGTGAGATCCCTTTGGTGATACAGTACGAACGTCTTGAACTGTGCGATAGAGGAGGGTGGGGTGCTCCAATCACAAAGCTCCCAAAACAGCTGGAGGCAGGGCAATTCGTCATCGTCTAGTGGTTGAATGCCTCCCCGACGTTCCAAACGAAACCCGCCCGAACCCGAACCTTCTCTTCAAAGTAAGCGCGCAAAGCGACGACGTTTAAATTTTGCTTAATTATATCAGCTATCCTCGCACCGCGCTACCCGATTTTTGATATTTCTAAATCCCATGGACCTTTACATGCGCTTTTGCGATAATGGCATAAACACTCTCGACAAAGTTTGTATCGGATTTGTTGGACGACACATTCTTTAGCCTGGCATGGTTTACCCTGAATACGCAATAACTGTTAACCTATTTGTTTTTTAATGATACAAGGTTATATAGGGATCTATATGAATTAAATGTGACATATTAAAGTTTAGTTTTTTCCAATAATATTAGGAAAGGAATAAAACTGAACTCATTAATATGCTATTTTAAATTTGTAGTCTACACTGTATTGTTTTCTAGTATGCAAGAGTCCAGTTGTCTCATTACGGTTGGTCCTAATGTATACTATAATTGTCTCTGCAATTTTGTATTTTTTAATCATTCTAGCCCTGAAGTATCTACGCGTCACGACACTACGGCCACTGTGTATCATCAATGCAACTGTGCAAAATGACAACTCGTACTAAGGGGTTGCAGTTATTGCATGGATAGCGTCAGATTGTTCTCACCCAAAGCAAGAAATCAAAAGGATCCAAAACTGTTAAATAACAAATCGTCTGGCTGACCAGACCGTGATTTCGGGTGAAGAGCAAGTTGCACTCCATGGAATTGAGAAATACGAAAAACGGGCAGCGCTGTGCGAGGTTAGTCGACAGGCTTAGATAAAATTTGAGAGTCGTCGCGTTGCGCAAATACTTCATTCCCTTTTCTGGCAAACAACCTGCGCGTCGACACACCGTGGAGTACACCTAGTGAAATGAACCAATCACATGCGAAAGAATGGCCAGAGAACAATCACCATAACACGACCTTTGTGGTCAACAAACACACGCTTGAAATCAACCCTCTTTGAAGTCTCGCATTTTGGTGGTGTTTCCGTCAGCCTATTTTGTGTTTCCCTCATGTACTACACCATTCCGTCAGCCTATTTTGTGTCAGTGCGCTGCTGTACCTTGTTGACAGTCCCCACAAGCCAGCCACCTTGTTGAAGAGTTTCTTGAAAAGAAAAAGGAAAAATAAAGGTTGAGTGCCTCGATAGTAGGGTAGGGATCAAAGTCTTGACTTTGGATCCACAGGCCAGCCACGTTGGGTCTCTTGCACATGTGAACTCTGATGTGCTGCCTTGCGTTGCGTGGCTCTGAGATGCTCACTTCTCATCATTCCAGGGTGAATCCCGCGCGCCACTTGCTAGGTAGTGTGAAATATGTAACTCATTTTTGGGGTAGCCTCGTCCCAATCTCTGTAGCTTTCGCTAAAATCCAATCCACGCTGTCAACTCAAGTTTTGTGACGCCAATTTTTTTAGAGTTGTCCTTTGACTTTCCATTATTTACGTAAGAGAATATCGCAACAATCTGGGATTTTCTTCATGATTGCATCCCCGTTTACATGTTCCTTCGAGACACGGAATCTGTAGTCGGACCAAGAAGAGCCCATGCTTTGAGCAACAATTTAGGGGGAACTTTGATTCAAGCTGGGCGAAGTCTGCCTGGTACTGGACGGGATCCTCGCGAAATCAGACAAGAGCCGAGTACATTTATCTTGGTACCCCGAAACAATTAGGCAGTGCATGATAACCTTCTTGTATACAAGGGTATCAGCAAAATACCCCTGTATAAATGCTCCATTCGGCTCGCCTTTGTTTTTTATATAACTCAGCCCACTGCACGCAACTAACCAGCGAGTATTCGGGTGTGATGCTCGGCAGCCATAAACTGACAGATGGATCTGCATAACCAGTTGCTATATATTAAGTGCCAAGAACGAACTGCGGTGGTTTGTGATATCATTGACACCACAGTGAAAATAGGAAAATCGAAGGGGTTCGTGCCCCCTAAACTGTATGGAAAAAGTGCCCTGCCTTCGTGATAGGGGTGGCGCACACCTCAAAATTTAATTTCTCAAGGTGGCCGTGAAATTTAACCTTTATTTGCCACCGCCGCAAGTGTAGAGCCCATTAACTGTACACCAGACCATGCCGTGCCTTGCGGAGCACTCACGCCTTCTATGCACTGTACCAATCACCAACGCTCCCCCACCAAGGGCCAAGATCCAAGCTAAGACCTGAAACACTGTTACTGTACAACACCCCTCCCCACTCCCACCCAACCGCCACTCCCGCCCGCCACATCCCCTTCCGTCCCTCAACCTCTCCGAATCACAAGCAGGAGGTTGCGTGGCGGGCGGAGTCACGTCAGCGCACCAGTCTAGAACTGCCATAGCACTGCAACAGCAGCAACCACATGGTTGCAGCTGGCGTCTCTCCCCCCTCCCCTCCCTGCCTTTCAGAACCATCGCTGCCCATGTGTGAACCCCCCCAAGCCTTGCTGTGTGCACTTTGCATCACCGCAAACACTGCAGCCAAATTGATGCGGCCAACTTCATAAATACTCAGATTAGTCCTGAGCGGTTTCTCAGGTGTAATCAACCTGGAATTTCTCGACGTTTATTGGTCGTCGCTTTTTAGTCACACTGTTCACGCTGATCGAAATGTTTGGGAGGTGACAAAAAGAGAACTATCTAGTTTACCCTCCCGACTTGGATTTGTTAAATTAAAGAACGTAAATTTACGACAGGGCAGAGAATTAAACCCTTATAGAATCTGGACGCATTTGCGGGAGGGATCAACCCTAAACACGGTAAAGGGCATTGTTTTTAGGGTTGATGCCTCCCGAGTCGCATCCCTTCTCGATTGAGTAAAACTTTTTGGGTCAAGAGGGTGCAATATATTTTTCCTGAAGTGGGCGGCTTCCCGTAGTTGAGGCTGATCTGTCCCGAAATTCATCTAGGTTCGCTACAAGTTTTTTTTTTTTTTTCAGGTGTTGCATTTTCTGTCGTGACTGTATTCAGAAAACAAGAAACACCTACTACATCGCGAAACTGTGTTTCTGTTGGTGATTACACCTGAGAATCCACTCGGGAATACTTTGAGTATCTATGATATTGGCCGAAATTGATACAATGTAGATGCAGGCACTCGCCTATTGCTGTCGCAGCGGAACAGGCTGTCAAACCATTTCAGCAACCCGCGTGACAGGAACAGAACCAGCTGCAAGCTGGCACTCCAGCAATCACACCGCCTTTCCCATTTCCACCCTTCGCCGCAGTTTATTGCTTACTTGCCTACTTACCTCGCTGTTTGATATCCCCCTCCGTACCTGCCTGCTGTGAGCCTATTTCTGTCATCCCTCACGTTTTCCAACTCAGAGCCACGGTACTAAATCCCCAGTGATCCTGAGCCAGCTGCACCGTTATCTTCGTTCCACTTTCTCTGTCGGGTACACTTAGCGAGACAGTGCTTTCAGAGCAGAATAGCATCTTTCAGCTTCAGAGCATAAAAGCATCAAATTAGCCTCGATCTAATTACCGGCCCAAAGAGGCTCGTGTTAGTAAGAGCCACAGAATTACCGATTGCGTCCGGCCTATGCAGCAACGATACCAACAGTGATCGCCCTGGCTTCAGTTTCGCGACTTTGAGACACACGGCGATAGAAGTTACAACCAGGAACCCCGAGTCGCTCATCAGCGTGACCCTGCTGTAAATCGGCACAACCATTTACTTGCTCGCGGCGAGGCGCACAAGTCGTCAGTACATATTCCGTACGTTAAACACTTATCGACTGTAGCCATGCCGCCGCTTCCCCTCCTCAAGGCCTCGTCGCTCCCCGCCGACTGCTCCGACCACATCCGCTCGCTCCGCATCTACGCGCTCTCTGCTGTCACCTCCTCCTCTTCCCCCGCCGCCTCTTCCGCCGCCGCCGCTTTCCCCGCCTCGTCCTCCTTCACCATTCCCCCCGCCGACGCTATTCCCGCCGACGCCAACACCTCGGCTTCTTCCCTAATCGCTTCCTCCCCGATTGGTTCCTCCGCGGTCGCTTCTTTCCCCATGGCGCCATCTGCCATTCCTTCTTATGCCGACGC